GATCCCTGAGTCAGGAAGATCCCTTGGAGAAGGCCTTGGCAACCCACTCCAGTATTCCTGACTGGAGAGACCCAGGGACAGAGGAGGCTGGCGGGCTATGGTCCATAGTGTCGCCCAGAGTTGGACATGACTGAAGTGATTTAGCACATAGCACACCCCTGTGTGCCAGTGGTTAAGAATCCGCTTGCCCATTCAGAGGATACAGGTTCAACCCCTGGTCCAGGAAGATTCCACATGCCAGGAGGCAATTACACCTGCGCGGCAACTAAGCCTGAGCAGCAACTACTGAACCCACATGCTCCAGAGCCTGTGCTGGGAAACAGAAGAAGCCATCTCAATGGGAAGCCCGCGCACCACAACTAAAGAGCAACCCCCACTCACCATAACTAGAGAAAGCCTGAGCACAACCAGAAATAAAAATAAATAAAATTTTAAAAAAGAAGTGAACAGTAACCCGCCCAAAAATTGTTTTTAAGTCATACCCAAAGAAGCAGCTTATTATAAGGATAATTTTTGAATAAGTGTGATGAATAGTTCCTGAAATTATTTGATAACCCACTTAAGAAAGGGAGGGAGTCCAGACATAGAGAACAGACTTGTGGTTGCCTTGGGGGAAGGATGGATTGGGAGTTTGCAATTAGAGGATGCAAACTACTATATATAGAATGGATAAAGAGCAAGGTCCTATGGTATAGCAGTGGGAACTTTATTCAATATCCTGTGATAAACTATAATGGAAAAAATATGAATAAGAATGTATATATATGTATAACTGAATCACTTTGCTGTATGGCAGAAATTAACACCACATTGTAAATCAGCTATACTTGAATAAAATAAATTTTAAAACAAGAAAGGGAGTAAGTCAAAAGATTTAAATTTCTGGCTAATACATTAAATACTGACACTGATGGAGTTAACATGAAATAACACACTAGGATGACAGTAAAACCAAACTGATGAATGTGCGTCATCAATTCAGAGTGTTAACATTAATCACAGCATAAGAAAACTTAAGATGCTCTGAAATCTCCCAGTTTACCTCTGAAACTTCTTAGAAATAGCCCCAAGGGATTTCCCTGGCAGTCCAGGGGTTAAGACTCCCTCTTCCACTCTAGGGGGCATGGGTTCAATCCCTCTTCAGGTGACTAAGATCCCACATGCCTCAGTATGGTCAAGAGAAAGTGAAAGTTGCTCATTTGTGTCCCACTCTTTGCAACCCCATGGCCTATACAGTCCATGGAATTCTCCAGGCCAGAATACTGGAGTGGGTAGCCTTTCTCTTCTCCAGGGGATCTTCCCAACCCAGGGATCAAACCCAGGCCTCCCACATTACAGGTAGATTCTTTACCAACTGAGCTATCAGGGAAGCCCTATGGTCAAGAGGAAGACAGAAGCAAAGAAAGAAACAGCAAAGAAAGAAAGAATAAAGAAACAGCCCTAAGTTTAAAAATAATCTTGAAGTTTACATATCCTTACCAATAATGTTAATGGAGATATCATACCTGATTGCATCAGAGGTACTCTTATGACTCAGTAGTTCAGTTCAATCGTTCAGTTGTGTCCAACTCCTTGTGCTGCGACCCCATGGACAGCAGCACGCCAAACCTCCCTGTCCATCACCAACTCCTGGAGTTTACTCAGACTCATGTCCATTGAGTCGGTAATGCCATCCAACCGTCTCATCCTCTGTCGTCCCCTTCTCCTCCCACCTTCAATCTTTCCCAGCATCAGGGTCTTTTCAAATGAGTCAATTCTTTGCATCAGGTGGCCAGAGTATTGGAGTTTCAGCTTCAGCATCAGTCCTTTTATAACTAAATGTCTGTAATTCCTCAACACTACCCAGGTCAAGAAGGAGCATGGAAACTGGCAACTTTTTTTCAATGGAGAGAAAAGAACACAAGGACACAAAAAGCGTGAGTGTGTTAGTTGCTCAGTCGTGTCTGACTCTTTGCGACCCCATGGATTGGGGCCTGCCAGGCTCCTCTGTCCATGGGATTTTCCAGGCAAGAATACTGGAGTGGGTTGCCTTACCTTCTCCAGGAGATCTTCCTAACCAAGGGATCAAACCCAGGTCTCCGGCATTGCAGGCAGATTCTTTACCGTCTGAGCCACTAGGGAAGCTATAGCTTAACACCTATAATTGCCGGGAGCCAGCACACAAGATCCCACCCATGACAAGGTCAAGAGGAGAAGGCCTGATGAGCAAGGCAGATCAGGACCTCAGGAATTTCGAAAAGCTGCCCCGGCGCTCACCTTAAAGATGATCTGTCTTTCTGATGCTTGCTATATGAGACCACTCCCTAATTTCTGTGACACAGGGAGAAGGCCTTCCCCGATTTCTCTCCAAACAGAATCAACTAACTTTAATCAACATGTCCCCCAGATGGTGGTATCCTATAAGATTATCCAGGATGAAAGGAGTGTTTCAATTTAGACCCCTTTGCTGACATTCTAGCCTGCTTAGCAAATGCGTATTAATGTAACACGAAAATATTATTTTAAAAGTGGTTAGAATTGTTCATTTTAACCAGGAATGCTAAACAGGGGCTGCCTCACGGGAGCTGCAGAGTCTTTGTGTTGTAAACCTTTTAGATAAATTCAACTAATAACTTCTGCAAAAGGACTAACTTTTGTGTTCATTAAAGAATAGATTACAGGAAAACAGCTTTGCATTCACCTAGGTCATAAAATGTCAATAGGCCCCGAGGCCAGAAGATAATGTATAAGACACTCACAAAGAAGTTACTGTAAATACCCGGGTTTCCTGAGGGACAAGATGATGTAATGTTAAACTTTCTTCCCCTAAAAATGTACTAACTTAGAATATAAAAGCTACAGTAAAAAATAAAGATTTGCCAGACTCTGCCAGACCCTGCAAGCACCCCCGTCTGGTCATTCTCTCTCTCTCTCTCCCCCCACCCCCCGTGGGTACGTTTCAGTTTCCTTCTTCTCTAAATTAAGCCTCTTCCTTTTTTCTCTTTTTTCTTCTTCTAATTAGTCTCTCTCTCTCTCTCTCTCTCTCTCTCTCTCCCTCGCAGACTTGGCCCTATCAAGGCTGGTCTCACGTCTCTCTCTCGCTGACGCCGTTCATCCTGAGAGTACCCCTGGATCCTGCTGAGGCTGGACCCCGGCATATAATGTTAATATCCTTACTATAATCAGTTGTGAAGCTAAAAGAAACTTTCCTAAGCTATTAGTAATAAAAAGTATATTTAGGTCAACCAAGATAGAGAAAAGATTAGTTTACTTTATAAAATCTCTCTAAAAGTTATATTATGAAATTATATGAAGAGGTGGCCAAAGTTCTGACCAACCTAGAGAGCCTATTAAAAAGCAGAGATACTACTTTGCCAGGAAAGATCTGTCTAGTCAAAGCTATGGTTTTTCCAGTAGTCATGTATGAATGTGAAAGTTGGACTATAAAGAAAGCTGAGTGCCAAAGAATTGATGCTTTTGAACTGTGGTGTTGGAGAAGACTCTTAAGAGTCCCTTGGACTGCAAGGAGATCCAACCAGTCCATGCTAAGGGAGATCAGTCCTGAATATTCATTGGAAGGACTGATGCTGAAGCTGGAACTCCAATACTCTCGCCACCTGATGCAAAGAATTGACTCATTTGAAAAACCCCTGATGCTGGGAAAGATTGAAGGCAGGAGGAGAAGGGGACGACAGAGGATAAGATGGTTGGATGGCATCACCGACTCAATGGACATAAGTTTGAGTAAGTTCTGGGAGTTGCTGATGGACAGGATGGCCTGGCATGCTGCAGTCCATGGGGCTGCAAGGAGTTGGACATGACTGAGCAACTGAACTGAACTGAACTGATGAAGAGGTGATAAGTATGTTGCAGAAAAAACTTATTTAGAGGCAGTTAATAAAATTGTTATTTTTATGATTTTTAAAATTGACATTTGAGGCTAATTTTGTATTCGGTTTTCTTAAAGAAAACTTCCAAAATTGTTTGTTTTAGGTACTACAAAACCTAGATCTATCCTTGATATCATTTAAATTAGCAACTTAACACAATTTACTTAGTCACTTATTTCTCAGGAGGAGCTGTCATTTAACTTTCTAACTAATGAAGTGGATGATGGGATTTTTATTTTGCTTGGGGGAGTCTATTTGGCTCCGCTGAAGTTAACATGGCAATGTTGTCTTATTCCCATTTTACAGATGAGGAGACTGAGTTTCAGAAAGGGTAAGTGCAGGTCACAAAGTTGGTTAGTGACAGAGTCAAGCTGAGGACAGATATCTTTGGTAGTTAAGAATGAGTCTCAGTATGGAAGGGTATGGTATATAGAGAAGAATGGAAAAATGCTAAAAGGGAAGTTGAAAAAATTGGTGATAATAATAAAACACTTATATATGTTTACAATGGGTCAGACAATGTTCTAAGTAGTTTACAGAGCTCAACTCATTGATGTTCACAACATATGTAAGAGCTACCATTCTTATTCCCATAATTATTATTATTTTGGCCATTTGGCATGTGAGATCTTATTTCCCTAACCAGGGATCAAACCCATGCCCCCTGCAATAGAAGCAAGGAGTCCTAACCCTGGATTGCCTGGGAAGTCCCTTATTCCAATTTTACACAGGAGGCATTTTAGACATAAATTATCTTATTTACCTACATTAAGTAACTTGCCAGAGATCACAGAGTTAGTATTGATAGAATGTTTGTATACTCGCTAAGTCGTATCCAACTCTTTTCCGACCACATGCACTGTAGCCCGCCAGGCTGCTCTGTCCATAAGATTTTCCAGGCAAGAACACTGGAATGGGTTGCCATTTCCTTCTCCCGGGGATCTACCTGACTCAGGGTTCCAACCCTCATCTCTTGTGTCTTCTGCATTGGCATTCAGATTCTTTATCATTGCATCACATCTATAAATTTTTGGACAGTTTTTAAACTTCTTCAAACTTTTTTCTTTCTTTCCTTTTTTAGACCACACTGAGGCATGTTGGATCTTAGTTACCTGAACAGGGATTGAACCCATGTCCCCTGCACTGGCAGGCGGATTCTTAATCACTGGACCACCAAGGAAGTCAGAATTCAGTCTGGCTCCAGAGTCTATACTTGGAATTGTAAACTCTTGCTGGAGAACGTTTAATATTTCCCACATAATGAGTCATTTCATCCTGGGTCAACTTTGCTGCTTCATAAAATGTTGCACCTTGTTCCTCATGCACACATCTCCTACATCTGCTACCTTGGCCACTAGAACACCAGGAGACTACATCTATGAGAAAACTCTCAATTACTCATTTCTTCATTCCTTCCATAAACACTTTGTGCTTGTACGTGCAGGTTGTTTGTAACCCAGGGACACTTAAGATGCTCTGAAGTTAAACTTTGCATATTCCAAGGCTCCATACAAACAGCAGTTTAGGACCAGGTCACTGGTCCTAAATTCAGATGTGTTGGTTTCTAACTATAAGAGTGAGGTGAGGAAAGAACTTGAGAAAAAGGGAGTTGAAAACACAGCTCTCCATCTTTGGATTCTGTGAGTTACATGTTTTTTTCTCGAGGCTCCACATCATCTCCCAGGATAAGGCATGGCCTCCAGGACAAGATGTGCCAGATTCTGGTTTTGACTTGCCAACCAGCTGGGTCAAATAAAAAACTTGATTAAGACCACTATTATATGTCAATTATACCTCAGTAAAACTGAAATGAAAACATAAGCTCAGTGTTTCTATTGTTCGTAAAGAAACTTCATGGATTTTGACTCTGCATCTCTCAAGTTTTTATTTAAAAGGAGCACTGATCAAAGATCTTTCCATGAAATCACTAGCAGATGTTGGCGCTTCAGACAACCAGCAAGAAAGGTTCATCCTTAGCAAAAGAATACCTCTGTTATCTACATACCCTGCTGCTGCTGCTAAGTCACTTCAATCATGTCCAACTCTGTGCGACCCCATAGACGGCAGCCCACCAGGCTCCCCATCCCTGGGATTCTCCAGGCAAGAACAATGGAGTGGGTTGCCATTTCCTTCTCCAATGTAGGAAAGTGAAAAGTGAAAGTGAAGATGCTCAGTTGTGTCCGACTCTTAGTGACCCCACGGACTGCAGCCTACCAGGCTCCTCCATCCATGGGATTTTCCAGGCAAGAGTACTGGAGTGGGGTGCCATTGCCTTCTCCATCTACATATGCTGGATGCACTTAAAGAAAAAAGAAGGAAGAGGATGGGGAGGAGGACAAGCAATTCAATTTGGCTTGTAATAAAAATGTAATTACTTAGAATAAGATTCTTGTTTGTGTTTTTTTCTTAATTTTAATAGCTTTATTGAATTGCAATCTACATACCATAAAATTCACCTATTATAAAGTGTACAGTGTGATCATTTTTAGTCCATCTATAGTTGTGCAACCATCCTCACTATCTAGTTTCAGAGCAAGTCCATCACTTCAAAAAGTCCCCTCGATCCCACTTGCTGACTTTTACTATTTTACTTTATATATAAAAAATTATTTATTTATTTAGCTGCCTCAGGTCTTAGTTGCAGAATTGTTTACTTATGACATGTGAACACAGCTGAAGCATGTGGAGTCTAGTTCCCTGACCAAGGATTGAACCCAGGCCCCCTGCATTGGGAATGCTGAGTCTTAGCCACTGGGCCACCTCGGAAGTCCCACTATTGTTATTTTATAACCTCTTCTTCTGGAGTTTTAGACCTTGACCTCAGTAGATACACTTAAAATGAATGCTATTTATGATTGCACTGCAGTTTGCAGGATCTTCTTTCCAGGCCCGGGATTGAATCGGGCCAGGCAGTAAAAGCACTAAGTCCTAACCACTGGACTGCCAGGGGACTCCCAATGAATGCTTTCTATATTGACTCTTGTTTCTTCCCAGGGCAAGAAGCTCTACTTTATTTTCTGAGATCTTTTACAGGATATTATTTCCCCTAATTTTCCTGGCCTCCCTTCTTTTGAAAGTCCTTCAGTTTGCCACAGATGACAGGTTGTTTCTGAGACTTACCTGATGTACTCATTAGATTCAATTATATCTTCTGGGTGCAATATTTTGGGCCCTTTGCAAAACAGTCTTCTAACCAGTAACAATAAACAAGCTTTGGTTCCGGTTGTTTAACAGGTACATTTCCAATCCTATCTCCCTCCATGAAAATGTTTTCAGTGAATATAAAAATCAGTAGCCATAAAATTAGGTGAATCTTTCTTTTTTTTTCATGAGGAGTTGTAGATTTACCTCATCACTTTGAAGAGTGTTTATCTATGAATAAAAGTAAGGAAATGATCACCATGGAAATCAGGACAATGACCTCACTAGACATAAAGGACAAGGTTGTGATTGAGAGGTGACTAAGGTCTACTAATGCAGGATTCCTTGGAAGGTGATGAATACACAGGCTTACCTTATAATCATCTTTATGCATATTTCTGTATATGTATTAGATTTCACAAGAAAACATTTTTTTTAATAGAGAAAAAAAGATACCCCTAGAGAAATGGATAAGAGTTAAAGATCTTTCACTGTTTGTTCTGCTATTTTTATTGTTGGCACAGTTTTCCAGAAACAAAGGCACTATCTCTGTGATTAAGTCCAGTTGCAGAGAAATGTTCTAGAACATCACTTAAAAACCTGTTTCTCAGAATTGTGCAAACTAAAACTGTATCCTGGAACCTATACACATTTTCCTATCTCTTAAAACATAGATATAATGTTGATGAAAACATGATTCTTATGTGATTGCAAAAAATTGAAATGCCTGTATGTTTTACAGTTTACAGCATTGATTTGCCTTCTTTGTAATGGTTCTATTTCCTCTCTGATTGCTCTTTAAAAAAAAGTTATTTATTTATTTGGCTGCATCAGGTCTCAGTTGTAGCATGTAGGATCTCTGTTGTGACATACGTGGTCAGCAGTTTCCTCGAAGGCTTAGCTGTCCCAAAGCATGTGGGATCTTATTTCCCTAACCAGGGATCAAACCTATGTCCCTGCATTGCAAGGGGATTCTTAACCATTGGACCACCTCAACTGTTCTTAAACACACACACTGCTGGAAGTTGCCAAAGGCAGGAATATGCTGTCTTTATCCTTCCCTCATATTGAACTTATAGCCTTATAAAACAAAACAAATTATACTTTTTTGAATGCTTTCCCAAATTCAGTGTATAAATTTTTTTTTTTTTGCCTCTGTTGGGTCTGTTGTGATGTCAGCCAGGTCACATTTGAAGCTACTGGAAATATTAAAGAGAGGAGAAGTAGGGGAATGGGACACAACTAGTATTTTTTTAATTTGTGATATACTTCACTCTTCTCCCCAACCCCCTTTTTTTTAATTAAAAAAATATTTTTTTCCAAACCCCTTGAATCTGGTGTGAGTGACTTATTCCTCTGTGAGGTGGTTTCTTCTATCATGTTCCATTCTTATGCTTGCTGACACATTTATCAGTGCTTTTCTAAGAGCAGAGAGAAAGGAAAGTAGGTGACATGATGAAAATATAGACAATAGGAGTTTTATGCAGATAATACCTTTCACTTAATGAGGAAATGTAGATATTGACTTTGACAGTGGTTCATCTGACTGCAAACATGTTAAATCTTGTTTTTATTCAAATTCAACCATTCATTCGGTTTTAAAAATTAAGTGAAACTTTCAGTATTAAATTTTAAGTACATATAACAGGAATAGAATTTTTTTTACTGAAAAGAGATGGAGTCAGCTCATTTGGCTGTAAAATGAAATGTGGGGTCAAGATGACCCAGCTTTTCAGGGGATCATGTTTTTAAATGTGGGGAAATACTGACATTAGTTGAGATCACTGGGAGGAAGGCTGTTGAGTAGATTATCTTCAGAATACCTGCCTGCTTCAGTGAGTCAGAGCAATGCCCTCCAAACCAGAAGTAATAATCTCTTTATCCTGTTGGTTTCTCTAGTGCTTTCCTGTAACTTTTGTGCGTGTGTGTGTGTGTGTTGATCTTAGTTCTCTGACTGGGGATTGAACCCAGGCTTTTGGCAGTGAAGGTGCAGAGTCCTAACCACCAGACTGCAGGGGAATTCCTCCTTATAATTTCTTTTATGGCACTTAACACTTTGTGGGCTTCCCTGATACATCAGTTGGTAAAGAATTCGCCTGCAATACAGGAGACCCCAGTTTAATTCCTGGGTTGGGAAGATACTCTGGAGAAGGGATAGGCTACCCACTCTAGTATTCTTGGGCTTCCCTTGTGGCTCAGCTGGTAAAGAATCTGCTTGCAACGCAGGAGATCTAGGTTGGATCCCTGGGTTGGGAAGATCCCCTGGAGAAGGGAAAGGCTACCCACTCCAGTATTCTGGCCTGGAGAATTCCATGGACTGTATAATCCATGGAGTCGCAGAGTTGGACACGACTTAGTTCCTTTCACTAACACTTTGTACCATTTCTTATAGTTGTGTATGTGCTCTGGAGTTTGTTTTTTAACTTTTACATTTTTTAATTTTATTGAAGTATACTTGATTTACAATGCCATGTTAGTCTCAGGTGTTCAGCACAGTGATTCAGCTATATAAATATATATGTGTATATACATATATTATTTTTCATATTATTTTCCCTTATAGGTTATTGCAAAATATTGAGTATAATATTGTGCTATACATAAATCCTATTTTATATATAGTAGTGTGTATCTGGGGCTTTCCTGGTGGCTCAGATGGTAAAGAATCCACCTGCAATGTGGGAGACCTGGGTTCAATCCCCGTGTTGGAAAGATCCCATGGAGGAGGGCATGGCAACCCCCTCCAGTATTCTTGCCTGGAGAATCCCATGGACAGAGGAGCCTGGTGGGCTACAGTCCATGTGGTCGCAAAGAGTAGGACACGACTGAGCGACCAAGCACAGCACAGCACAGTGTGTGTCTGATAATCCCAACCTCCTAGTTTTTCCCTTCCTCCCCTTTCCTTTCTGGTAACCATAAGTTTGTTTTCTATGCCTGTGGGTCTATTTCTGTTTTGTAAATAAATTCATTTGTATCTTTTTTTTTCAATTCCACATATAAGTGATATAATATGATAATTTATCTTTCTCTGTCTTGCTTACTTCACTTAGTATGATAATCTCTAGTTGCATCCACGTTGCTGTAAATGGCATTTTTTCTTTCTTTTATATGGCTAAGTAGTATTCCATTTATATATGTATCACATCGTCTTTTCCTATTCATCTGTTGATGGACATTAGGTTGTTTCTATGTCTTGGCTATTGTGAATAGTGCTGCAGTCAACATTGGGGTGCATGTATCTTTTTGAATTACAGTTTTCTCCGGATATATATATGCCCAGGAGAATTGTATATGTGTTTGATTTCTCTCCTTGACTGTATCTTGTGGGTGCGAGAACACTTAGCATGTCTTATTCACCAGTTCATCTTTGTATCTTGCATAGTGCTTTGCTCATCATAGGCTTTCGATAGGCTTACTCAGTTCATGAATAGATGACAGATTGAGTCAGCAGCACTGGTTTTCTTTCTTGGCTTTGGTTAACCACATCTGCTGAGTATATCAAACAACCCCAGACATGAGGCAAAACCAAGTAATCTTATGAAAATAAAACCATACTCCAAGCAAGAGAAATTCTGAATCTTAAGCCCAAGTAAGAATCAGAATAGACAAGTTTCAAGTAGTTCACTCTTAGAGACATTAAGTGAATCACAGGCATTACCTGTGATGATAGGCAGAAATGATACATAATGATCTACAAGCCTTCATGAAACAGTAGACATTCTATCATGGTATCATTTTTGGCAAGAAGACAGTGAAAAATCTCGAAAATTTCTCACATCAAATCCACAGCAGTAGCAAACAAGATATAGTCTTTAGAGGCTTTCTATAAGAAAAAGCTTGCTACTATTTTCCTTTCAAGAGGAAATGTGCGTTATGTGCTAGTAATTTCAGTCGTGTCTGGTTCTTTGCAACCCTGTGGACTGTAGCCCACGAGGCTTCTCTGTCCATGGAATTGTCCAGGCAAGAATACTGGAGTGGGTTGCCACGCCCTCCTCCAGGGGGTCTTCTTCACCCAGGATCAAATCCTCGTCTCCTGCATTGGCAGGCAGATTCTTTACCACTAGTGCCCCTTGGGAAGCCTTTTCCAATTCATAAGATAAGAAGGTAAAGGATTCAAAGAAGACATCAACAATATACAGAATCTACTTTTCCCTAAACATTCAAAAAGTTCCTTCTCTACCAATAATTCCCATTAAAATACATGACAGACTGTTACTTCTTCCACTATGAAAGGCAAAACACTTTTATCAACTTCTTCTAGCTACCATCCCATTTATTTGCTCTCTTGCCACAAAACTTCTCTAAAACATTTTTTTTCCATTTTAGTTTATTTTGGCTGTGCTGGGACTTAGCTGTGGAGCATGTGCTCTAGAGTGCACGGGCTCAGCAGTTGCAGAGCTCGGGCTCTCTAGTTGTGGTGCATGGGCTGCATCTTGGTTCCTAGTTCTCCGACCTGAGATTGAACCCCCCAGCTGCGTTGGAAGGTGGGTTCTTGACCACTGGACCACTAGGGAAGTCCCTTGCCACAAAACTTCTTGAGAGAGTCGTCTATCCTTGCATTCTTTCCTACATACACCCTGATCAGGTTCCTGCCCCGTCAATCCACCAAAACTGCTACGAAAGTCATGAAAGAGCTGCTTGTTGGTAAATTCAATGGACAATCTCCATCTTCATCTTGCGTCACTTAGCAGCGTTTGAAACAACTGATTATTACTGCTTTCCTTCAACACTTTGTTCACTTGACTTAGCAGATACCACAGTCTCCTGGTTTTCCACCAACTACAGACAAGTCATTTCCCTTTGCTGATTTCTTTCCACTCCTTGTTTCTTCACGTTGGATGTCCCAGGGATCAATCTGGAGACCTCTTTTCTTACTGGGCTTCCCTGGTGGCTCAGATAGTAAAGATTCTGCCTGCAATGCAGGAGACCCAGGTTTGATCCCTGGGTTAGGAAGCTCCTCTGGAGAAAAGAATGGCTACCCACTCCAGTATTCTTGCCTAGAGAATTCCATGGATGGGGAGCCCTTACAGTGCATGGGGTTGAAACGAGTCAGACATGACCGAGTGACTAACAGTTTCAAATTCTTACTACAGTCACTCATCTCACCTCATGACTTTGGATTTCATCTATGCATCAGAGATGCTCAACTGATATCTCTAGTCTGGATCTGTCTCCAGATATGTATGGCCAGCCACCTACTTGACATCTTTACTTCAAAGTCTAGTAGATATCTTAGACTTAATATGCCCCAAACTAAACTCCTAATCTTCTCCCCCTTAAAGTCTACTCCACCCATAGTCCTCCCCATCTCAATGAATGGCAACTTCTCTTTCTAATAGTAGTTGGAATCATCCTTGACTTCTCTCATTTCTCATTTATTCTCCTGCCCCACTCCCAATTTCTGTTGGCTGTTTCTTCAAGACATATCCAGAGTGGCTGATTCACTTTGCTGTGCAGCAGAAGTTGACATGGCATTGTAAAGCAAGTATATTCCAGTCTCAAATTTTTTTTAAAAAATCCACTCCTCTCTGCCTTCATTGCTGCCACCTTGGTTTGAGCCCTCAGCACCTCTTACCTGTACCATTGCATCTCTCACCTAACTGGTCTCTGTGCTTCTCTCTCTTGTTCCCTACAGTCTGTTTTCAATGTAGCATCGAGAGATCCTTTTAAAACACCAGGGAGATCAGATCACCTCTCTGTTCAAAATATTCCAATAGGTCCCATCTTAGAGTAAAAAGCCACAGCCACCACCTTCTACTTTCCCTAACACTCATTCTTCTTTGGCCACACTGGCCACTTGCCAGACCTATTCCTGACTCAGGGCTTTCTATTCCCTCTACTCCTTATGCTCTCCTCTGATGTCTACTTGGTTCACTTCTTCCATCCCTTCAGGTCTTTCTTCAAATGCTGCTTGCTGAGTTAGATCTTCTCTGACAACCTTTTTTTTAAAATTAATTTTTAATTGGAGTATAGTTGATTTATCTTGTTGTGTTAGTTTCTACTGTACAGCAAAGTGAATCAGCCATACATTTACACATGTGCATGTGTGTTAAGTCACTTCAGTCGTGTCTGACTCTATGTGACCCCTATGGACTGCAGCCTGCCAGGCTCTTCTGTTCATGGGATTCTCTAGGCAAGAATACTGGAGTGGTTTGCTATGCCCTCCTGCAGGGGATTTCCCCAACCTAGAGATCGAACCTGCATCTCTTACGTCTAATTTGCATTGGTAGGTGGGTTCTTTACCACTAGCATCAGCTGGGAAGCCACATCCACTCTCTTCTAGACTCCATTCCTATATAGGTCATTACAGAGCCCTGAATAGATTTCCCTGGGCTGTACAATAGGTTCTTATTATTAGTTACTTTTTATATAAGTAGCGTGTACATGTCAATCCCAGTCTTCCAGTTTATCCCCCACCCCATTATCCCCTTTGGTCACCATAAGTGAGTTCTCTACATCTGTGACTCAATTTCCATTTTGTAAAGAGGTTCATTTCTATGACCATCCTCTTTAAAATAGAAACACTGATCTCCAGCATTATTCCCCTTTTTGGACTTATTTTAATCTATAGCACTTACGTTGGCAGACAGAAGAGGGCTTGGCACCGAGCCTGCGGCTCTACAATATTTAAAGCTTCGGGGGAGAAAGCAGCAAATGAACCTAAACAAGAGCTTTCAGTGAGGCAAGAGGAAACTCTGGAAACTGTGACCTCATGGAAGGCAATAATGGGGAAAGTGTTTTAGAAGTGCTCATCTGGATTGAATGCAACTGAGACGCTGATAAATATTGGACACAGAAGTGAAACTGGTCTTAGGAGATCTCAACAAGAGAATTTTCTCATAATGGCACAGAGAGAGGATAGACTGGACTGAAGAGTAAGGGAGGAATGGAGATAATACATATATATGTGTGATCAGGCGTGTTCCACTCTTTTGCGACTCTGTGGACTGTAGCTGCCAGGCTCCTCTGTCCATGGGATTCTGCAGGCAAGAATACTGGAGTAGGTTGCTATTACCTTCTCCAGGGGATCTCCAGACCCAGTGAACAAATCTGCATCTTCTATATCTCCTGCATTGGCAGGTGGATTCCTTACCACTACGTCACTTGGGAAGCCTGGAAATAACATGCAAAATACCTTTAGAGATGTTTTGCTGTCAAGAGAAGGAAAGAAAAGAGGCATAGCCCAAAGTTGATATAGGGTAAAGGTAGGGTTTTTTAAGTTAGTGTTCCTAGAGCAGAAATGTGTCCAGTGGGGAGACAGAAAATGATGGTGCATCATTTTCTTTGGTGCAGAAAAAAGGGGATAAATCTTGGACCAAAGTCCTTAAGAAGATGGGGGGGGGGGGGAGGAATCCAGAGTTCAGTGCAAGTGTTGACCCTTGATGAAAGTGAAAGTGTTAGTTGCTCAGTTGTGTCCTACTCTTTGCAACCCTATGGACCCCACAGCCCACCAGGTTCCTCTATCCATGGTATTCTCCAGGCAAGAATACTGGATCGGTTACCATTTCCTTCTCCAGGGAATCTTCCTGATGCAGTGATTGAACCCAGGTTTCCCATGCTGCTGGCGGATTCTTTACCATCTGAGCTACCAGCTAGTAGTGTTCCCCAATGGTTCAGTGAGTAAAGAACATGCTTGCAATGCAGGAGACAGAGGAGATGCAGGTTCGATCCCTGGTTGGGAAGATCTCCTGGAGAAGGAAATGGCAATCCACTGCAGTATTTTCGCCTGGGAAATAAATAAAATAAATTTAAAAATAAAAAGTTTTTAAAAAAGTGGTGAGACAGCTTTAAAGGTGAGCTCTGTCAGAAATTCAAAATGTCATAAATCAGACTTCCCTGGTGGATCAGTGGTAAAGAATCTGCCTGCCAATGCAGGAGACACGGATTCAACCTCTGGTCTGGGAAGATCCTACATGCCATGGAGCAACTAAGTGCGTGCGCCACAACTACTGAGCCAACACTCTAGGGCCCAGGAACCACAACTACCAAGCCCATGCGCTGCAACTACTAAAGTCCATGTGCCCTAGAGCCTGGGGTCCACAACATCACATGCCACAACAAGGAGAAGCCTGAGCATCACAACTAGAGAGTAGCCCTGACTCATGGCAACTGGACAGAAAAGGCCATGCAGCAGAAAGACCCAGCACAGCTGGAAGCAAATAAATACAATTATTTTAAGAAGTCATAAATCATAAAATGTTAAAGCAGGATAGGACATGGAACTCCTAGTAAACAAAATAATGTGGCATAATCTTCACAGTATCACTACTCAGTAAATAGTAATTTATCTTGTGTCTTTTGAATACTCATTTTGTGCTAGATATTGTGTCCTTGTAATACATAGTCAGAGATATTTGGGTGATAGGGAAAGAATTCAGAAGGAAGATTCCTAATCATTTCCCCATTTCATTTGGGGCAGCCCATTTAATATTAACAGTTTCACTTTCTCCAACAACAGAATGAAAAGGATATTTCCTATGATATTTGAATATTATTATGGTGGAATGTTTGTGCCCCCTTTCAAGTTTATGCTTTGAAACCCCACCAACATAATGGTATTACTTCGGGAGGTTATCAGGATTAGGGCTTCCCTGGTGGATCAGACGGTAAAGAATCTGCCCACAGACCAGGGTTCAATCCCTGGTCAGAGAGATCGTCTGGAGAAGGGAATGGCTACCCATTCCAGAGTTCTGACAAAACATGGTCCACAGGAGAAAGGAATGGCAAACGACTTCAGTATTCTTGCCTTGAGAACCCCAGGAACAGTATGAAAAGGCAAAAAGATATGACACTGAAAGATGAACTCCCCAGGTCGGTAACTGCCCAATATGCTACTGAAGAAGAGTGGAGAAATAACTCGAGAAAGAATGAAGAGACAGAGCCAAAGCAAAAACAATGCCCACTTGTGGATGTGACTGGTGATGAAAATAAAGTCCGATGCTATAAAGGACAATGTTGCATAGGAACCTGGAATGTTAGGTCCATGAATCAAGGTCAATTGGAAGTGGTCAAATAGGAGATGGCAAGAGTGAACATCCACATTTTAGGATCAGGCTCCTCTGTCCATGGGATTTCCAGACAAGAATACTGGAGTGGGTTGCCATTTCCTCCTCCAAGGGATCTTCCTGACCCAGGGATCGAATCTGCATCTCTCACGCCTCATGCATTGATTGGCAGGCAGGTTCTTTACCACTAGTGCCATCCATGAAATTAGCCATAATAGATTAGTGGTTGCCCCAAGAGAGGGGAGGGGAAAATGGGGAGTGACTGTTAACAGGCATAGGGTTTCTTTCTGGGGTGATGAAATGTTCTGGAATTAGTGATGATGGTTGAATAACTGTAAATTTTCTAAGACCATTGTATACTTTAAATGGGTGAATTATATGGAAGACAGATTATATTGCAATGACTATGTTAAATGTACTAGAATAGCAATGTCGCCAGGAATCTAACTTCTGACTTACACAGAATTCCTCTCTTGGAGAGCAGATAATATGCAAAGACATGCGGTCTAATTTTACTTACAAATTCCTTACATACCTAGCTGTCAGGTTACTATTTTAAGTAAGGAGCAGAAAAAAAAATTGTGACTCTTTTAATTCTGGAATGCAATTTTAAAAATTATGGTGAAGTAAACCACTCCAAACAGTATATTCTTCATACAAGGCAAAATCTGTAATTTCATGATACTGCTAAATGTTGACCGCTGTTTAGATTTGCATATTATAAAATATTTGCATTCTTCAGAGACCAGATTGAGGGTCGCCAGAGGCGGACAGTGCGTGGGCAAAATGGAGGTCAAAGGGTACAAACTCAGTTATAGTCCCTCGGGATGTAATGTACAGCATGGAGACTATAATTAGCAATACTGTAGCATACATTTGAAAGTTGCTAAGAGAATAATTCTTTAAAGTGCTCATTCCAAGGGAAAAAAACCCCACGAAACTATGTGTGGTTCCCAATATATACATATGTCAAATCATTGTTGTACACCTAAAACTAGTATGTTGCTATGTCAATTACATTTATTTCAATTAAAATTTTTTGCATTCTTGTTCAGGTAAGGACGATGGTTTCTTTTTCTTAGCTCCACAAGTCTGCCTTGTATATACACTTCATAATTTTCTTGGTCTCAAACCGATTTATACTTTCAAATTTGCCATCAGTTTGTTGGTTTTTTTGCCATCACTTTGGAACACACTTTTTTCTTTTAAAAATTCTGAAACTCTCTAAAAGGACAAAGTAAAATGAAGTTCTATTTGTGTTAAAGTTTTCTTCTAAATGGGCTTTCTCTGGGGAGGTGGAAGAGTCTACGTTGAAGTTTTTCAAAATGTGACCGGTTAGGGTGGTAGTGAACGCTCGCCCCAGAAAGCAGACATTTTTCGTTTTCTTTTATTTCGTTTGGGGAGCATCGTGGCTAGTCCAGGCGTTTGTGAGACGCTAAAGGGAAGAACCTGGCAGCTAAGGAGCCGCTACGGGCCAGGGTCGCGGCCAGGCGTCCCCTTCTGGCCAATCTTCCCGTTGTGGGTGCAGCCACCCAACCCCGGCGCCTCCGCCATCGCCCGCCCGCGTGGCGGTCCCGGGAATCTACCTGGGCCAGGCCTGCCGCGCCCCCGCCCGCGCCGTCGCCATGGCACCGCGCCGCCCCGCCCCCTCGGCGCTCCGCCGGCCCGCCCGCGGCCCCCCTCGCCCCTCCCTCTGTCCCGCGCTGCTGCGGGGGAGAGGGTGGGGCGGAGGCGGGAGGAGACGCAGGCGAAAGGATATAGGCGGCGCGACGCCCGCGGCCCATTGGCTGCCTCATGCTAGGGCCAGAAGCCCCGCCCCTCTGGAGGGGGTCACGTGATCCCTTTCAAAGATGGCCGCCCTGTTGTTTTGATGAATAATACTTGGTGGGGCGAGGGGTAAGAGTAGGGGTGGAGGGGTAGGCGGATTTACTCTACCAGCGAAAGCAACGAGAGTCCGGTCCTCCCCCTCCCCCCTGCCCAAGCTCCGCCGTGGAGGAGGGGCGTGGCCGGCCTGCTTTGGGAGGGGAGGAGCTTCCCTCCTCAGTGCTGGGCTCTGCCTGGGCGGCTGTGGGGTCGCCTTACCTCGGGGCACCCACTCTGCAGTTGAACACTTCCCGCCAGGGTCAAAGGGTAGGAAGGAGAGCAGGATCTGCTGAGGAAGCACAGCTGCCGCGCCACCACCACGAAGACCCAGCAGGCTCCGGGCACGAGGCGAGCTGGAGACCGAGCTCCTTAGTCTGGGTAACCTGGGAAGCAGAGGGTAAATAAGTGGCGCCTTAAGATAAACCCTGTAGCAGCAGCAGTGGCGGTCAAAGGAGGCTGCTGGAAGCGGCAGCAGCTGTAGGAGTCTCGGGCGATTGGAGTGACCGACGCCAAGGCATTTCAGTGCCTCTCGTGTTCTTATTTTTTAACCTCTGACTATGCAATTCTGAAACCTCCCCCATTCGGGGGACCAGACAGCCCGATAGACACCTACCACTCTCCTCCCGCCCTGGTCGCAAAGAACGGAAGATCTCTCCCTAACGCCTTTCACCATTAAGAGGAAAGCGATGGAGGAGCTGAGCGCTGATGAGGTGAGGAGGTTGGGGGACACCTTGGGAGATTAGTTGGCAACTCTTTGGCGCTTTGGGTAGGCATGATACTGCGCCAGTGGTGCCTGGCCTTTGGGCAGCAATGGAAATGACATCTAAGAATAAAACGAGTCCCTGAGAGGGGCTCTGATTGTATTCTTTTATATTCCTTTGCCTTCTTTTTGCATCCTGAACGCCATTTGCCTCTTTCGAGTTTTCTTTTAGAGTCTAGAGAAGAGGAGAACATATTGAGGTTTTCATTCTTTTTTTTCAGGGTATTTAAGCTAGAAGGGCTGGATTTACATCAAGTTGTGTGTGTGTGTGTGTGTGTGTGTGTGTGTGTGTGTGTGTACGCGCACGCGCCCGCGCGCGCATGTACGTGTGCGCGCGCGCGCCTTACTGCAGAGATTGAAAGAATAATTTTGGGTGGAATCAGAATGTATGGGTATATGTTTTTAAATGGATTTGAAATCCCGAGTATGTGTGGACACTTCATTGTATAAGTTGATTAAACATTACGTGTATGGGGATGGCCTACAAGCAGATTCTTTGATATTTAACAAAATGTGTATCTTCTCAATAGCTTAGTGAATTACAGTTAAAATTTAGCAGTTTAACAGATCAGTAATGGCTTCTGGCGTACTTCTCTTGCAGCGTGATTTTTTTCTAGTTTTTGTCCCTTTCAAACTAGTGTTTTGCTGTAGCAGACGCTGAACAGGAAGCAAATGGAAGCAAATAACTTTGAAAATTCCCCCTATTATCATTTCTGAAAGGATTCTTACAGATCCCTTTCTAGATGTTTTCTAGATTATTTAATAATAATCTTAAAAACTGGCATTTAGGGTACAGGGAATTTCCTGTGATTCTGTTGACTGCCCCCCTCCCTTCTTTTTTTTTTTTCCCCCCCCTCCCTTCTTAAAAAAAAAAAACCAAATTGAGTTTCTCTTTCTGGACCCCTCCTGGCCTCACTGTCTTCCACCTACCATTCTTCCACCGGTTTTTGTAAAATTTCTGCCCCTACACTATTAGAAAAGTAGATGTCAGTCAGGCTGGTTGTACTGTAAAACTTCCATGCTTCAGTTTTTGCTACAGAGTAGTCAATATGTTTACATAGGGACTAAAATTCTCCAGAGTGAGGCAGGGGAGTGGTGGGCTAAGGGTCTGGTAGGAAAGGAAGCAAACAATTTTGTTGCTTTGATACCTGGCTGTTTAGAAAGTCAGGATTACCCATTCTGTGTTACTGACTTTGTTTTCTAAATGCATCAATAATGTAATCTTAAATTAGAAAAATACTGAACAGCTTCTTTCAGGTAGGAACTATCAAGAGATCCTCTTAGAGGCACTCCATTTTGTGTAGTTTTTTTAAAAAAGTGAAACCCCCCCTTAAAAAAAAATTAATCCTCATGGATCATTTCTCTTAAGGCCAAGAGTTTTTTAAGTAGTAGAAATTACATTTTTCTTGACATTCTCTAAATAGTTCCTGGTTTAGAAGTTTTTACATTCTTGAGTTTTCACCAAGAAATTGTTTTCAAACCATTAAAGCATACAGACAAGCTAAAGAGCTGTATAATCTGAACTGCAGCTCTTTACTTAACCCAGTCCTTGAGGGAAGGTATTAACTTTTTTGACCATATAAGGAACAAATGTAATCATTGTGGAGGAGATAGACATTTTTCAAGGTCAACAGGATATTAAATATGAAAAATTTAATTCACTAATACAAGACCAATATAAAATTATGTTCAACAAATTAGTTGGCCTGACCACAAAGGGCCAGTTCAGTAATTTTACTTTCAACAGAATCTAGAACAAATCTTTTTTGGGGAAAAAAAGTTAAAAAAAATTTTTTAACCCATTTCCTTTAATTCTGGGATTAGGTAAACAGTTGTTATCAGAGACATTTCTGAAGCTTTTGCCTTATTGTTACTCTGTTGGTGGAAACTTGTGTCATAGGTGTGGTAGGCGACATTCATTTGGTTAGATAATATATTTATGTTGTTGAAAATTCAAACATGCATCTCAGGGTGTAAAACAGTCAACACAGTGACCTTTCAATCTAAATTAGGGAATCAGGTAAGACAGGATTTTATATTTTAGCAAAATGGAAATAGAAGAGAATGTAATCCATCAAAAACAGAGGCTGCTATAACCAGGCTAGGGCTTCCCTCGTAGCTCAGTCAGTAAAGAATCTGCCTGCAGTGCAGGAGACCTGGGTTCCATTCCTGGGTTGGGAAGATCCCCTGGAGAAGGAAATGGCAACCCACTCCAGTATTCTTGCCTGGAGAATTCCTTTGACAGAGGAGCCTGGCGGGCTACAGTCCATGGAGTCGCAAGAGTCAGACACGACTTAGCTACTAAATCACCACCATCATCATGACAGGCTGGTAGCTCTAGAAGATTGTACATTATGGGTACTTTTTGGTCCCTCTCATTGGTCACCTTGAATTCTTGTACTTTTCCTTTCTTGTGCTTTCTAAGTAGAGTATTTCTTTAACTTCATTGCTGTTTCTGTTAGCACATTACAATGAGTCCTTTGCTGTATAGAACAGATCCATGACTAAGTTTATTCTCTTTAGGAACCTCATTTCAAGGCATCATTATTTACATTGCATTCATTCTGTACCCTGCTCATGTTTGTTTGTTTGTTTTAATACCAAAATAATGCTGTGATTAGAGCAGGTATTTTAAACTATTTTCAACTGTGGCAATGTTGTGTTTTCATGGAAATGATGTGCTTTGCTTTGTTTCTTTATTTTTTTGGCGGGGGGGGGTGGGCAAAATCTTTATGACCTAGTTCATCTTCAAGAGGGCTGGCTGGGATTCAGGGTGTGGTAAAGGTTTTAGAAGTTGTCTTCCTTCCCAAATGCAGAATGTGTGACCTTGGATATTTTAGCAGTTTTTTTGGTGGAAGGGGACTGATTTTTATTAACAGTCTTAGAAGCCTGCTCTATGCCAGTCACTTTACAACCATTGTTTCATTTGATAAAACAGAGCAATTCAACAGGTCCTTCAAATTTCCTTGTTTTATAGGTGAAGCAACCGAGATTTAGGTTAAGTTCATAGTGCCCTGGCTTAGAAGTGGCAGAATTGGAGTTCATACCCAGGGTTCCTGATCTAAAAGCTCTTTTTACTATATTTTACTGCCTAACAACTGGCAATAAATTCACCACAGCTTCTCCATAAATATGCTTGATCTGCATAACTCTTCTGTAAAAGTGTTGTTCTTCATGAACTCATTCATGATGTGGTCAAGTTTATAGTCTTTTTGGTGCTGACTCTCATCACTCTCCTCCAATAATCATTCACTCAGCAACTGTTTTTTAAAAAGATGTTGTGTGCATCCCCAGCAATGTGTTAGGTAGGTTAAGAGAAACGTCTTTTTCTTAAAGAAATTATTATGGGATTGGGGAATGGGTAGGGCTAGCTAGGAGTCCAGCAATTATGATACAGGGCGCTAAGAGCTATTTTGGACATGTGCACAGTAAGACTAGTAAGAAAATCAAGGAGGGAACCCTGGTAGGGTAGCATCTTAGTGAAGACTTTCCAGAAAAAGTGATGCTTGGGGACTTCCCTGGTGTTCCAGTGGTTAAGACTCTGCCCTCCCACTGCAGAGGGCACAGATTTGATCCCTGGTTTGGGAACTAGGAACCTGGATGCCTCATGAGTGCCCCCCGCCCCCTCCGCAAAAAAAAAAAAAGGAAAACTGGTCTTTATACCAAGCAGTAGTTGTCAGGCAGAGGGCTCTTGGAATGGACTGTGAAACTGGGGAGCTCAGGAAACTGCAAGTAGTGGGCCTGGAAATAGGATTTGTGGGGGAGTGGCTACAGGCAGACAGGCACTAGATCTCAGACAGTATTAGAAATGCTCAGGTGTTTGAATTTCTCAGTAAGACTGTATGAAGCCTTTGAAGGGTTTTAAGGGATTAGATGTCTGGCAAGGTGTCGAAGGTAGGTGGGAAGAAGGTGGCTGCAGGCTGGGAGATGCATTCAGAGATTGCTGTTGCTATTGAGGGGCCAAGCAATGGAGTCCAAAGGCCTTGGCAGTGGGAATGAAGGAGAGCAGACAGGAGAAATATTGAGGATCTAAGTTAACCCACTTCTGATGCTCAGATTGATGTGAAGGAGGTGGAGGCAGGGGAGGAAAGAAAAAGATAACTCCTTGATTTCTAGTTTGAGAGAAGGATGAATTGGAGGAGAGAGAAGAAATTCCAGACAAGGAGCAGATTGTGGAGAAAGAAGATACTTGTTTGGGTTACTGAAAGATGACCCAACATAGAGGCCCTTACCCTTGGCCTTTCTACTCTAGCATCTCCATTTCTGACCATTTCTTTGTTTGTAACAGGCCTCATGACCTAAGCTCACTTTTCCCCCAGTAGATAATTGCTGCCCCTCACTTTATAACCAGGATTCTCCTGAAGCCTGCTAGGAGGGTGGAATGTTACCTCCCCAGACCCTTTCTCCACTCTTTTTGGTTCATTTTAGCTAAGAGACAGAGAATGGTAATGATGTTAGCTGATATTTATGAATTCTTAATATGTGCTAAGCACTTAACTTGTTCAGTAAAGTTGGTATTCTTATCCCCTTTTTACAGATAAGAAAATTGAGGCTGATAGCAATTAAGCAGTTTGCCAAAAAGTGCACAACCAGGAAGTGGTAGAACCTGGATTCTAATCCAGAGTCAGATTCCAGAGTTCTTAATCCCATTACTAAACTTCAAAAGAATCATCTGAGCAAGTTGTAATGGTTACGGCATTTTTATTTTCCTTTTGAGATGGGAACTAGAAGCAGTAATCCGTTGTTACTGTTAAGAGTGGAGCTCATCAAGTAGCCTTCTACTCTTTTAGGGGGAAAAGATGGCAAGATTTCTGATGAGGGGTCCTTGGATCTTCAGGCTTTTGCTTGGCACACAGAGCATTTTCTGAGAAGGTACTTGGGGTGTGTCTAGGTGGAGACGGCTTCTTGTAGCAGCTCCTTCAATGATATTTGCTGTTTACTTGCACGTGT